GTGGAAAGCCTTCTGATGAGGCAGCACCGTCCTGGCAAGGAAAAGCAAAGGGAAAATGAATGGTCGTGACGAGGACCAAGGACGAAGTCCTCTTTAGATTATGGATTTAACGGACTTTGATGATCGGAGCGCACTGGCACACGCCATGAATTTTTATGCTCGATGCTTTTAATTACGCTCATTTCTTCATTTTCTACTTTACAATCTTTCGAACCTTTCGGTTCGGGAATCTGCGTCTGCGAATTGCAGATTAGATTCGGAAATTTTTGGCCTGGGAAACTTGAGAATTTATGGGTTACAAAATCTGTTACTTTGGAAATTTAATAACTGTAATATGAAGACCAAACTAAGCTAACTTTACAAGTTAAAACATGTTACAAATACCCAAATATCCGCAGCCTAATTACTTACATTAATAAGATGACAACATTAAGTTCCCCTAAGCAACCTTGAAACAGCAAACGAAAAGCTTCATCCAGCATTTCCTTGCATTCTTCAAATATATCCGTAGATTCCTCTTTGAGGAATGCAATAAGAAAGCTTCAGCCGTAACAAAGTTCGCGAGACACATTTGACCGAGGTCCGGAAGTCGTAATAATCGAGAACCGGTCAAGTAACGAACAGAGCTGGCCTTTTTCTAATCAGCGTTATTACAAGCTGCACATCCACTTTGAATCGTCAAAGCCCCGAAGGAGCAGAGAGTTCTCTTTGCTTCTTGTTTCCATTTCGCTCTTTATCCTCTGGCTGATCATTGAAAGGCCGGAAAAGCTTTCCTCTTCTCGACGAATAGAAAGTATCCTTTGGTCGAGAGGAAAGAAATTGGCGACCCGGAAGACGCTGCAGGAGGAAACTGATGGAATAAGGACACGTACACCGGAAGTGGTGTTTGGAGAATACTGGCGGACGTTAGATGAGTTGGAACAAAGTGTACAGCATGTTTCAAGAAATATACAATATTTTTGTCAGAGGAGGAAAGTTTTGACACATGTAGGTTAACTATTTCTGATTGGTATACACGATGCTACAAAGAAGAAACAAGGAACAAAGGAACAACTTTAACAATACAAATTTTATGAACTAATTAATTTGTCGTACAACTGATATTTTAACATCGTACAAATAATATTATAACTGCAGCAAACTTTGATTTGATGGAAAGATTTCTGATCGAATTATCGTTTCTCAAAATGGCCAGGTGAAATGTAAATTTTCCTGGACATATCTGTCTGCGGATTTTAACGAATGAAAGATGAGATCTTGATGGGAAATGAGAACAGATTTCGCTTTCTTTCTTCGTGGTTGAAGATTGATGAGCATCTTTGGAAGGTCTGATCGTGTGGAGTAATTGAAGACGAATTTGAAGTTGATTTATGTGGTAACAATTTTAAGATCGTTATAATTCGCTGGAGATCTTTAATAAGGCGGATAGCGTGACTTGCAATCTTGCGTTATAAATTCAATGAAATAATTATCTCAATTTTCGTTTCAGATCATGCCTTGTGACAGTTTGTGAATGAGAAAATTTTTCGGGTGTTTTTATTTTTATTTTAGCATTTTATTAAGGATAAACGAAGACAAGTAGTTCTAATCAGTAAAATTGTGAATATAAGTGGACTCTATGAATGTCACTTCGTACTCACGCTAGACATGACGCACTCAAGCTACATATGACGCACTCAAGCTACATATGACGCACTCAAGCTACGTATGACGCACTCAAGCTACGTATGACGCACTCAAACTACATATGACGCATTCAGACTGCATATGACGCATTCAGACTGCATATGATGCACACAAACTACATATGAGGCACTCAAACTACATATGACGTACTCAAGCTACGGATGACGCACTCAAGCTACATATGACGTACTCAAACTACACATGACGCACTCAAGCTACATATGACTCACCCAAGCTACATGTGATGCACTCACCCACATCTGCACGCTTCAGATCTGCCAAATCTTTCACGAATTTTGAATACGCTTCAATTTGGAGTGTAAGTCCAATTATAATTTGCATGGTCAAGGATTGCCGAAAACAAAATTGACATAACACTTCAACTTTTCTTCCCTGTTTTAATATTGTAGCTGTGATCAGTTAGTTCCAAAGCGCCTGATAAATCATAAGGCAAAGGGTTAAGAACTAAGTGCATGTGCGTCACAGCGTCAGCAATATTAAGTGACGATTAAACGACGAATCATTAGGATACGAGTGAATATAAGTGGACTCTATGAATTTCACTTCGAACGACTAGTTTATTTTGCAATGTACTTGATCACTGTTTGTTCGGGAGTGTCTCCGAAGAATTTTTACGTTGCACAAAAGCTCGGAGTGGCCGTAGAATTTTTGTGATATTGCCAAGGGAAAACAGTTTCTAATTTTCTATGTGTTTAGATAAAATTTGGGTGGAGATGGAAATGCGAGCGACGTATGAAGTGTGTCTGGGTTTACCCGCAGTGACCTAAGCAAGTGATAAAAGCAGCAATACCTCGACACGAATAGTTCACTGCGAACGAAAGACTCTACTAGCTAAGGTTAAGGGTTCCAGGTGTGACTCACAATAAAAAAATACTCACTAGAATGTAATGACTAGGGTCTCATTGCTGTAAGGATTGATTTGAAACTGCAAACGAAGGAAAAGCTATTAAAGTATCTAGAAATTTGTGAGGTCTAATCCTCTCGCTGTTTCATGTATTTTGAGACCTAATAAGATAATTGTCCTTTACAACCTACCTCACTAAAAGTAGTAACCTAGCAAAACCCCAATACCTCGAGCAATTAATTTCAAAGCTGAAGTAATTTTCGAACGGATCATTCCCGAGGATAATTGTCTGAAGGTCTCAGACACGTTCAAGAGCGTCGATTGAAATAACAAGACCTTCGTTTTTTGCAACACGTACAAAGATAGGTAGCGATATCTTTTTCGAGTGTTCGCGGAGTAGCTTGCTTCCAGGAAATTGTTCAATCGTTCGATTCAAGCTTTTATCTATCGATATCGCCTTCAATGGTATGTCTTTGAATTTAAGAAAGAGCAGGAGAGAGGGGGGAAGGGAGATTTCCAGAACATTCTGTGCAAGAAATATGGAAGAAAATAATGGCCTCGTACGAAGAATAACCCGTGGTAAATTGGAATCGACCGATCAGCCTTGCCAACCCCTCGAACGCTGTACTTTCCTATATATAAACCATAATTGGACGTTGTAGAAGATTTTCTTTGAGTATCTGATTTTGTCCCGTTATGCGTTAAAATTAGTTCTGACATTGTTTTACATTGTAGACTGTTAACAAGTTTCGGATGTGATAGAACATGTCGGTTCAAATTGTTCTAATTTGTAATATGTCGTGGGGTAAGTGTATAAGATGGGGTGTACAAGTTACGTTATGGGGCACTGATGGATGGATAACATATGAATTTTTAAATTTGTCTGTTCAAGAATATATTTCTATATTTCTATTTCTAAGTGAATTAGATTTGGACATGCTTTAGATCCACATCACATAAATCACATAACCTTGAATGTCATAATAGAAACAGTCTTAATCCACCTAAACATCTGTCACAAGGCATCCTAATTTCCAGCACCTTAACTGTCAGCACGACTTGAATTATCAAAGAACATAAAGCATGTCTAACAACACATGGTACTCAGCCCCAAATCACCTAATCTTGAGTATCATAACAGAAACATAGCCCTAATCCACACAAAGTACAAGACTATGCCATAAGGCAGCCTAATTTCTAGCTCCTAAACTGTCAGCACGAATTATCAAAGAACATAAAGCATGTCTAACAACATATGGTACCCTCAAATCATGTGATTCTGCACATCACGATAGGAACGTAATCTTAATCCACATAAAGTACTTCTCTGAGATAAGGCACTGAAACTTCCAGTACCAAACAACCAAAGTGCATACGTGATGTCTAATAACATATGAACATACAGAATCTCTAGTAACATGCTTCTCGAAGTACACCTGAAACCATGCCGCACAAAGCATGAGTTGTATATCCGAAAAATTGCAAACAGCATATTTAGCATCGATCAAGGATATCAGAATAGGGATTCTTAAGATACTTTAAGGTGGGAGAGTCATGAGATACGTAAGGTGAGATGGTACTTAATTAGATTCATGGCAAGGTAAAATTCAAGGTTCATTTAATTGAGGTAAATAAGGGTTAGGATGTGGGATATTGGGTTACTGATGTGGAATATGGGATTGCTGATGTGGGGTATTCAAGCTGTATAATATGGAAGTAGTTGCAGACGAGACACTTCATAACTGTTCGCTCAGATATCAAGCTACACAACTCAAAAAGATAATCAGAAAGATATTTAACTAGTTATGGTGCAGGACTCATAAGGACACTCAACTATAAATGACAGCTAATTAGACAAAAGTCTCACTGAAGCAGTATATCCAACATCTCATATGGTATAGAGCTAGCTCTAGGGTGACACTTTCTTTACCACATACTGATAAGACACATGACTCAGAATGTTACTCAGCTATCTAACCAAGGTACAACTAAGGCTTGTTAAGATAGGGTATATAGGATTACTGATGTGGGGTACCCAAGATGTATAATATGGAAGTAGCTGCAGACGAGACACTTCATAACTGTTCGCTCAGATATCAAGATACACAACTCAAAAAGATAATCAGAAAGATATTTAATTAGTTATGGTGCAGGGCTCATAAGGACACTCAACTATAAATGACAGCTAATAAGACAAAAGTCTCACTGAAGCATTATATCCATCATCTCATATGGTATAAATCTAACTCTAGGGTGACACTTCTTTGACCACATTCAGATTAAAATGATACTCAACTAGTACATCGACCACAATGATAGCTAACGTTTGTGTCCAGACCTAAAGTACAGATTATTATGAATAGATGTCTCATTGAATTTCTATCCTGCTAATATCACATTCCTCAAACTTTCATTCGCTGTACCCGTAACAACCAACTAAAACTTACAGAGTAAACGCAAAAAGTCTGACCGAAACGGACACCCAAGATCTGGCACGGCCCAGAAATAGCAGCGGGGTGAGACAGTTTCTACCTGTCTCACCCTGCGCTCTTCAGGTGTATCTCAGGTCCCGGCTAGAGGTAGCAGTGACGTAATGAAGTGACGATGGACCCGAACGAAAAGTGGGCCGCGAGAAAGACGAGGTACGTGGTGCCGATGTTAAATCGCGCGACGATGCAGTGATCGTGGTGATCGAGTTAGTGGATCGACGGGTGGACGATGCATCACTCCGGTGGTGCCGGTTACGGGACCGGGCCCCAGGAGCGAGTGCACCAGGTGCCCCGAACTGCTGGCCAACCCGACAAGTGTCCCTACGAGACCTACCAGGCTCAGATACCGGATTGCTGTGCAGCTGCAGCTGCGGTACAGGACCCGTATCCACGCCCACCGAGCGGATACGATGGCAGGTGCTACGACGAGTGCCATCGCAGGACGCCCTATCAGGACGACGCCTACACCCAGGTACGTGACACGAGTACGATATTTTCTAATCGTTTTAGCGATTCTGGTTGGAGATGTGGAAGATTGGTCTAGGTACGGTGTGGAGAGATAGGGCTAGGTGGTACGGTGTGGAGAGATAGGTGGAGAGGTTAGGCGGGGAATCTAGGTGGAAGCAATTTTGGTTGGGGGACGGAATTTGGGATTTGGGGATTTGGGGGATTGCAAATTGGCATGGGTGCGTTTTTTAATCGGTCGGATGATGTGATTGTGCTTTTGGGGATAGGGAAGTGGATTGGTTTAGGGTGGTACAATGTGGAGAGATAGCTGGGTGTAGAGGTGTATCTAGTATGGGGGATCTGGGGAGAGACTTGGGTGATGGGGGTCTTTGTTGAAAGGGGTATTCAGGGGACGGTTTGAATTTGGAGATGAAGGACTTTGATGGGTTGCAAATTTTAAATGTGGGAAGTTGGGAATATGGAGATTGGGGAGAAGGAGAATTTGGGAATTTGGGGATTGGGGAATATGAAAATTAGGGAAGAGAGAAGTGTAGAATATGAAAATTTGGGGATTTAGGGAGCTGGAAGTTTCAAATGTGGAAATTTGAGGAGTTGGAAGTTTTAAATGTGGGAATTTGGGGATTTGGAACTTGGGAAAGTTGCAAATTTCGAATGTGAAAACTTGAGAATTTGAAAATTTGGAGATTTGGAAAGATAAAAATTGCAAATATAAAAACTTAAGAATTTAGAAATTTGAAAGTCTGAAAATCTGAGACTGAAAATTTGGGAATTTGGGAATTTTGAGAATCTGTAAATTTTTAAACTTGGCAATATTTCAATTGGTAAATTTGAAAATGTAAAAATTCATAAATCTATAAATTCTAAAATTTAAAATCCCCAGACGTGAAAACCATTTGGATATTCACTATATTATTACTAGATTTCTTATTTCTTATTATTACTAAATTTAGTATAATACTTCGCCCACATTCGCATATAAAATAATTTATTTCCCGCCAGAAAAAAAGGGCTCGATAAATTTTCACGAAAAATGTAAAAACTAGATATATAACGTTTTGAAAGAAAAATGGCGGATGGTATATAAGAAGACAAAATGGCGAATGGTACATAAGAAGACAAAAGGGCGGATGGTACATAAGAAGACAAAATGGCGGATGGTATAAAAGAAAACAAAATGGCCGATTCAATACGATGCTTAAATATTTCCAAATTTTTCAACAAATTACTAATTTTGCTTTCAAATAAATTTCTCTACATTTCTGATAGAATAATGTAATTCTTAAATTGCATAATTCTATGTATATTAAGGTATTATTATAACATCATATAATCATGAAAAAAGTTCTTAATCGGATTTAATTGCATAAACAGCAACCGTTCAATGATTCCCTGACGTCCCATTAGCTTTCAACACCAAAAGATTTGATTGCACATAATGTACGACCATGAAGAAGTAATTGTACAAATTAATTTGATTGAAATGCGATCGATTTTCTGCTTAGTACATACTGCGGTGTATAGTCTATATTGGTTTGATATTTCGGACGAAATCGCTAAATACTCTCTTTGGAATGCGTTCATTAAAGACAATTAATAACAGATATTAATAATTGGGTCACTTCATAAACCCCTGTGTATTTCGGTTTGTAAATTATCGCTGAATCTGCAGGTTTTGATGAAAGCTGTACCAATAAATTGCTCTGGGAATCAGAGAAAACAGTATGAAACTTTCGTGTGCTACTTGCGTAGAAATTTAATATTTTCGTTGTTATTTATTTTTAGTTCGTTATAAAATGGAGATTTTTTGAACTGTACTAATATTTATGGTTTTTCGAATGTAATCTTTAAACATTATCTTTAAACGTAACATTCAAACATAACCTCAAGACATAACCTTAAAATATAACCTTCAAATGTAACACTCAAACATATTCTTTAAACATAGTTTGAAGACATAACATTTAAACATAGCTTTTAAACATAACTTCTAAACATAACCTTCAAACATAACCTTTACACACAACCTTAAAACCTAACCTTCGTATACAACCCTCAAACACTAACTTCAAACATAATCTTAAAATATAACCTACAAAATAAAACCTTTGAACATAACCTTAAAACATAACCTATAAACATAACCTTCAAATATAATTCTCAAACTTGATCTTAAGACATAATGTTAAAACATAACCTTCAAATGCAGCCTTTAAACACAATATTTAAATATAACTATTAAAAGTAACTTTCATACATAATCTTTATGTACAACCTTAAACATAAGACATAATGCTGAGATATAACCTCAAAACATGACATTAAAAATATTATTCTTAACAGTCTGTTATACATTTCTGATGAAGTTTCAACATAACCTTCAAACATAACCTTGTTAACCTTAAATCATAAGCTTCGAACATAATCTTAAAACATGACGTTAAAAATATTATTCATAACAGTCTGTTATACTTCTGTTGAAGTTTCAACATAACCTGCAAATATAACCTTGTTAACCTTAAATCGTAATCTTCGAATATAACCTTCAATCATAACCTTAAAACATAACCTCAAAACTATAACATAACCTCAAATATTCATAAGTGCATCTGTTATATATTTCAGGTAATGGTTTATTCTAATTGCAAACGTTTCTAGAGTACAAATTGATAACAGAAGGATTTTTGTTGAATATAAACCTTAAATGTTGCGGCAAGCCTGCGTAACAGCAGGTCTTGGAATTAGTTAAGCCGAAATGGCTCATATTGCTGGCGTCAGACTATCGAATAAAGTTACCTGCTGAATCATCAGCCGCTTAAAGTTCCCCTTCTCAGCACTAATTAACCTCCTCCTTAACCTGGTGAACGTGAAATTTAATTTTCAATGAACAATAATCATAAATATTAGGATCGAGGGTCGTGGCCGTACCGTAAGCTCGTTCAATTCTATTGGAGCAATTAAAGAAACCTGCACACACATCAGGGTCTAATTAAATTTAATTAGCAGGTCGACTGAGACATGATAGTTACGTGGTTTCAAGTACAGGTGCTTTTTCTTAATTGAGCCTGATATTTCTTTCACTGTTGTTAAGGGTGGTTTTTAATGTCTGCAGATTTGGTGGGATCAAAATTGTGGGAAGATAGTTTTTTTAAGTTTATTTTTATTTTGTTGAGTTAGTGATACTTTGCGACTGAATTAAGATTTGGGTATTTTGGTTTGAACATTTGGAATTTTTATAGTTTTGGACTTCTGGGGTTTCAGGCAGACAAATTTTGGAATTTATGAATTTATAAGAATTTCTCAATTTTTAATTTTTTAAGCACTAAAATTCTCATTTTTCTCAAATTTCCAAATTTTTTATTTTTCAAATTCTAAATGTTTCAATTGCTCGAACTTTTAATTTTTCAAGCACTCAAATATTCAACCTTACCTTTCTTTTCAGTCTTTTCTTTCACTCAACGCTCTATTCATTTATTTCATATACAAGGTGTCTCTAAAGTCTCCACCCTTATACAGCTTTAAACATGGAAAAATGTTTCAGACAAAAGTTGTGGGATATCAAGGATACATAAGATGGCAGCAACAATTTGCTGTCAAAACACATTCGATATTTTTATAAATAATTAAAACCCACAACAATTTTTAAATTCGATGAACAAATTTTATTTTAACTGAAGCCAAAGCGGTCAAATGACTAATTCACAAGTTTTTTATTATACAAGATATAAGTCAGATGTCTAAGTCAGAAGTCTAAAGTCAGATTATAACGTCATATCACCGTTATATTTCAGAAACAGCTTCAAACATGGAAAAATGTTTCGGAAAAGTTGTAGATATCAAGGGTTAAGATGGCGACAATTTGATCTTGGTTTGAAGGTCACGTCTTCAGTTTCCTAAATAGAACCCCATTTATTGCATATTGTAGCGACGTTTTCAAAACACTATGTTTGTTTTTTGTGGGAGTCATTCCCAAGATACGAAGCTTCAAAGTTGTCACATAAGTAGCGTAAATCTGATCGTGCAACCCTCGCGCGGTGCACCTTGGGTAATGTACATGCCGACGATATGTCAACTTTGAAGCTCCGTATCTTGGGAATGACTCGCACAAAAAACATAGGTAGTGTTTTGAAAACGTCGAGGCTACAATATGCAATAAATGGGGGTTCTATTTAAGAAACTGAAGACGCGACCTTCAAACCAAGGTCAAATTTTCGCCATCTTAACCCTTGATATCTACAACTTTTCCGAAACATTTTTCCATGTTTGAAGCTGTTTCTGAAATATAACAACGTGACCTTCAAACCAAGGTCAAATTGTCGCCACCATCTTAACCCTTGATATCTACAACTTTTGTCTGAAACACTTTTCCATATTTAAAGCCGTTTCCGAAATACAAGGGTGGGACTGTAGAGAGACCTTGTACAACAGACCAGTTTAAGGCAACTGTACGTCCGTACGAAACGTATCCACGTTAATATATTCTCTGGCGAAAAGAAATATGCGCATATCGTTAATTTTCGGTGCAACCAAGTGCACGAGTAGCGATGCTCGCTGAGGCGGGGATCAAAGAAACACGGACGGGCACATGCTTCGGCCGGAAATTTCAAAAGAGAGAACAGCCTTTCATTGAAAGAGAGACGGCACCGGGGTGGAAAAGAGAGAGAAAAAAATGTGGGAGATGCATCGCGTTGAAGAAGCAATCTCCCGTTATTTTTTTCGAGTGATCAATCGACGCGAAGCTGCGTAATCGAATCGTTTGTGAACTATTGGTGCCTCGTTTGAAAACGTTTTCGCTGATGAGAGGAATTGGCAAGAATTTCAGGATCGATTACTGTTCATTATATCGAGAGAACTTGTTCGTTGATTATCGTTCGTTGTTTAAACGAATTTGCTGACCGATGCTTGCTTCGTTATTCGGAACAATTTATGCCCTGATTGTTATTTACTCGCCCGGTAAAATTTCGGGGTAATTGCCGGATGGTGCTAGGGATTTATTGAAAATCATTG